TGTGACACCAATGTAATCGCGTTCTTTTATTTTAAAAATCTAGATGGCACATTCGGTTCGCCAGCACTCGCACCCATGCAAACACATGCACGTGTTTTCAAAACCACAGACACACATATGTACGCACGCGCTCGCGCACACGTTGGTAAAATCACGAGTAGATACCCAACATCATCGAAGAATATAGGCATTGAGACAGCTGTGCCGAATTTGACAGAAGTGAAGCGCTGTGTATGGCAGTCAGTGCTGAAGAAGCAATAGGCTTTGTTTTTGATTTTGTAAGGTATAATTCTGTCAAGGTAAAAGTTATAAAACTTACAGTTATAAGTTTGAAAAGTTATTTGTAAAAACATCTTCCAGAACATGTACTAGAACAATAAAAAAAAGACAATCAGTATTCCTTACGTAGAATAAAGATTGCCATGATTATGAAAGTAGCATAATCTGCAGCTTTCTGGGTCCCCACTGTAACACGTTTTGGGTCCCCACTGTAACACTTGCATAAGGCCTGGTGAAGTTGTGCCCGCCCCCTGGCGGTGAGTGATCAAAGCAGGTCATTTAAGATCGATCCATCTTATTAATAAGTTACACTAATCTGGACAGATTAGCAAATCCCTACAATGAAGTCGAAACTGTGGCCACATTAAACGTGCCTGTTGTTTGTGTCATTTCCTCTGTCTGTTAACAAGGTTGCTTCATCCCGACATTGACGCGAGTTTATGAGTGTGCAAGTTTCCGATTATCTGTTCATTTGTCAACCGTTCAATATCCCCATTTAAGATTGCATGTACACGAACCCCCCGCCTGACGCGTATCAAGTGTCCGATCAATCTGTCAGTTCAGACAGCCACCACTTCACTTTCCCTTTGATTAGTTGTTCTTTGAAATGAAATCTAAGAAAACGACACTACAAATGAATTCCATTACGGCAAATAACCTGTTGTGCTTCTGAGGGAAAAACATGTTCTTGGCAAAGAATCACGGTACGCATATCGCATTAAGATTGAACACAGCATATGTCTGTCAATATTCCTTTGTTACGGCTGCCCCGATGGTTGCCGCGAGTTGTGGCTTTCTGTTCTATTCTCAAGTGGTAAAAATAAAGATCTGTCTACCGTACCATGCATGCTATTGAAGCTTTTTTTAGAGGGCACAGACATTTAATGTACTTTTAAGGAACATTTCCTGTACCTCGGGTGAGAAAATCAAATTGACCAAAATGACCAAGAACTGTATTTTGTTACCCGGGGCAAGTGCTAGCCTCTTTCTCTTTTCCACACCGACTACGAATTCCACGAACCACCAAGAAGTGATACATTTTAGAAATCGTGAGGAATCGTGGAATTTTACACATTTTTGGTAGAAGAATTGTGCCTGCTTGGGCTTCACTTCCAAAATGGATGTTGAACGTAGCTATAGCACTGGCCCTAGAACTGTAAAAAGAACATCAACTGGTGATAAATACAAGACTGGTTCGAAACTTTTGTGTCGATTTCTCAAGAATTGCAAGAACTGACTAAGGCTCTGTTCTCACAACTTTTAGATCGATCTATCACCGCGGGGAGTCTCACTAGATTACTGTCAGATAATCCCCCTTAAGTGTCCGTCCCCGCCTACTACAAGCTTTAAGGGGTAATTAACTTTCGTGTCCGCCCGGCTGACAGCTATTTAGCGTGAACCCCCAGGGAGTTAGGTCGATCCAATGTAGGTCGATCTAATCTATGAGAATGGGGTGTAAGAGTAAACAAGAATCAGTTAATGGCCATAACTGCATAACAACATGGCAGCGGTACTATGCACATTTACCTCACTCTTGCCGTCAGTGCCTTGTTTGGCTGAACTTTGGGCCAATCACAAACCTTCAATTGGTTACCATGGTTACGTACAAGGACACGTGACATCTCATAGACCAGTGGTTGCCGCGGTTTAATTAAATCAAACTCCGTTAGATTGAAGAATGGCGCGGAAAACGTGTGTATAGAAGTTTGAGAAAAAAAGAGTAGCTAGCCCATGTAGACTAAGGGAGTTGGAAAGCATTTAAACGAGACCTTAAGACTTAAATGAGACCTAAAGTAACTTCCCAGACCTTAGTGTGACCTTATGATCGACTTTATACTTTATCGTTTCGTGATGTTTAAAATATTTGTCAGTGGATTTAGCTGAACTTCAAACATGAGAATATTTCATTTCTTAGGACGTCATTTCTTTTTTTTTCCAGTTAGTTTACTATTATTGTGTAGGTTGAATTATGAAGTCCTCAATGGCGGTTACCGCTATGTTCAAATGTTTTCCAAGAAAAAATACATTAATTGATTGATCGGTAAATGATGCATTCTCCGCAGGCAAGTGCGTTACGCTTTGTTGTCGTTTTCCATCATCTTTCTGCCTAATACTGTCACGTAGCAAAACGCAGATGATCGACGTTCTACTGTATTGTAAGTCAAATAGTTTCGTGGCGTTTAACGTATGTGTCGAGGGATTTAGCTGAAATTTAGACGTGAGAACCTTTCATTACCTAGGACTTCATTTCTTATTTTCCTTTCCAGTTAGTTGGCTATTAGCTTGTAGTCGGAGCTATTAAGTCTTAATTCTATGTTCAAAGGTTGTTTTCCAAGAAAAAAGCATTAATTGAACTTTTCAATCTTCATTTTTCTTTGTTGAGAGGCCCATAATAGTTCATTTTAAAGTGTCCGGAAAGTGATGCATTCTTCTTAGGCAAGTGCACATGCGTTACGCTTTGTTGTCGTTTTCTCATCGTCTTTCTTCCTAATTGATCATCGATTTTTTTATCTGAAAAAAATAATTTCATTACCCTTTCCTCTTATTTGTTAAAATCCTCCACGGCCGTTCCCAGAGTCACACGTTACGCTACTTAAGGGCCGTCCCCAGGGACACTTTACTCTACCTGAGGGCCGTCCCCCCGGGAACACGTTATGCCACCTGAGTGTACTTGTACAGTGAGAGTCCCCACAATGACGTCAAACTCATACATACACACTCATTTGTAGCCTACCGTTATGCAAGTACTTTAACTGAAACAGCAATTTCCATGCCATCTCAGGTACGATGAAATAACATGACGGCATTTGGGTCATCTGTGGATTGCGAAGAACAAAAATACCTTTCTTTACGTCAGTGACAACTTCTCAGAACTTAACGAGCAGCGCATTATCCAGGCCCAGACACGAACATGATTTGCTGGAGGTTTTCAAGGTATTTTTCTCCACACTTGGTCACGCGAACGGCCGTTTGCACGGTTTTTATCATCTATGCATAGTGCGTAACGTGCTTAATAACTTTTTTTTCAGCAGAGAGACTTTTTGATTTCACTAGTTCCATACCGCATATAGTGCCTTTACGATATACACACATAGGTAAAGTAATGTAAAGTGTGTTTTTATTTACTGCACACCATTCTCAGTGATGTTTGCCAGTGCTTTAGATGACAATTCGCATGGAATATTTTTTTTAATCCTGACTCAGACTTGATGTAGATGTTCTCACCTCCCTATGGAGGATACAGCCCAGCTGCCGCATGGGGCGCTGACAACACTCATACATACAATATCTTTACACTTTAAGACCTGGGCTCCGTAACTCGAAAGCATCGCGAATTGCGAATCACCTTTCATTTCGAGGTTATTACGGCCTATATGGGGTGAGTAAATCCTGAGTTATGGAATCGAGACGTTTGCGCTCGGTCACAACTCGCGATGCTATCGAGTTACGGAGCCCTGGGATCCAAGCGAATAGACCGCAGGTCTGGACAACGCTGGTATGTCCCTGGACAGGGTCAAACCTAAGTCTTCCAGCTTTGGACGCACCCGATCTGACCACAAGGCAATCTAGGTGATCCCACAAGGGCAAGCAAGTTATCTTAAAAACTAAGAAGATTAACGGCGGCGATAACCTCACAAACGGTCATTCTAAAAAACATGATCTACGTAAATTGGCAATTTAAAGGTTTACTATAAGAATTCGAAAATGTCACAAAGCCATATTTTTTACGTCTGAGTATCATGCTAAGGTGCTTAACTTTCCCAAATCAAGCCTTAGAAACGATAAATCCCCTCATACACCTGTGTCTGGACCTGGTGTAGATATTTACCTCAGAAATGTCAGAAAGACACGACTGTTTGAATTAACTTGATAATTTAAAGACTTAAATTATTAAATTATGTGCATGCGCGCGCGCGCGCTCGTGTGTGTGTGTGTATGTATGTTCGGTGTGTGCACGCACACGTGACGTCGAACACTCTGTAAAATGCAGAGGGTCTGTATGTCAGAATGTCGTGTTACCTTGAACATTATTCCGAGATCATGTCACTGTTTGAAAGGTTGCGTAAAAAAAAAAAAAAAAAAAAAAAAAAAACGACGCCTGGCGCTTTTCCAATTCATTTTGTTGTGGGGCGAGTGTCATGATTGGGTATTTCATGGATTGCTGTGTGTGTCACGGGCCTGTGTGTGTCATGGGGGGGGGGGGTCATGGCTTGCTCTCTGTGTCATGGGTAAGGACTCACAGGTCTGAGTGTGTAACAGAGACGGCACAAAATAAGATGCCTGGGATAAAAAGATTGGTTTAGCCTCACGGTGCCAATGTAACACGATATGAAAAGTAACGGCTGCCCCAAATGTACATCATGACCATAACATGACCATGATACATGCAATTACTTGTAAAAGCTGCAAAATACATTCTGCAGCAAAAAAAGAGTTTATATCTATCTTATTAACTCTGAGATCTTCTTTTCCCTCGATTCTCCATGAAAAAAAATTATGAGCATGACGGTTACCTATTTTCAGCAAGGAAGAGGTGAATGCAGCTGACTACATCAGATTTTATTTATTTATTTATTTATTTATTTATTTATTTATTTATTTATTTATTTATTTATTGGGGGGTCAGTTGATCGATATGCCATAAAAAAAGTTTAACAAAATAATTGTGATACATTCTCCCAAAATATCCCATGTTCATATTTCCTTTTCTCTATTTACAGGTAAATTTGTTCCTTTTCTGGAAAACATGACAGTCCATGCGTCCGTGTTGTCTATCGTATTCATCAGCATCGAGAGATATATCGCCATCTGCCGGCCTTTAAGCGCAAAATCAAAACGCTCCTCCAAAACCACGGTCAAGCTCCTCTTGGTAATATGGGCTGTAGCGGCGGCTTCCACTTCCCCTTTTCTATGGATTGCTCACCAGGAAAGTACAAGATATTTTAATGGCGAGTCTGTCATTGTTTGCACAACTTCTATTGATATACAGTGGAAGGAGTATTACGTTTTGGCATTAACCGCCATATTCTTCGCCATTCCAGTTCTTCTTCTTCTCATCATCTACGCCCGAATTTGCAGGGTGCTCATAGTGGAGGGGCGTGGTCTGTCGGGCCAAAGTGAACAAAAGAAAACGCGAAAATTGATGAAACACATGATTCAGCGCCGACAGACCACCTACATGCTTATGGCTGTAGTGTTAACGTTTTTTGTGTGCATGTTGCCTTTTAGAGTGTTCACGTTTTGGATCCTATATGGCAGTGCTGAGTCTAAGAGAAGAATTTCTCAAGAAGGAATGCTCAACCTAGCAAACGGCATACGCGTGTTGCTCTATTTAAACAATGCCCTCAACCCCGTTCTCTACAACGTGTTCTCCACCAAGTTCAAAGAAGCTTTTGGCAAGTGCTGCAGGACTTGCCGCAGCGCCACACACAAACTCCCCCGTCGGGAATCCGGCAGTACCTCGCTCTCGACCACAGTGGGTAACCGGGACAGGGTGTCGCCAACAGCAATAACGGACGCGTCGGGTACATCTCGAAAGACAGGTAAGGAGAATTGGATTTGTGTGTACCGCGCGTATCCAAATACCAGTAATTACACACTGATGGGCTCCAGTAGCCCGGATGTTATGCGCGAGCACAGGGGACACAGCCCGACTCCCATTGCATCTAATTCCAATGGGACGGCCGTGTTGGTACGTTCTGAGTTGCAAAGATCGAAGCACTTTGAACATTCAGCTCCCTCTTCGTTGAGCAGCTGCGAGACAGCCCTCCCTAACACGACTCGGACACACCAACACTGTGACTGTCTGCCTCACCGGGCAACCAACTGGAAACGACGCGGTCTTCAGGGGGACCTGCGACACTCACTTATTTCTGAGGAACTGTACTTCCCAGGCTCACGGTGCGCGCGAGGAGAACATGGCCGACAAAACCTTGAACAGGAAGAGATTTGTCTGTCTAATATTTTCGTGAGGGACAATCCAGGACGGTCCGACTTACGGGGTTCACAGATAAGCGAATATGAGGAATTCTGCCTTCCGAGCCCTATGTGTAATGGAGCAGCGCCGCTGCTGCCATCTGACGGAAAATGCTCAAGAAGGGACTTTAACAAAATGGGTTCAGTTGACGATGCCGGCGTAGTGCATTTGCTTTGGAATGATTAACACATATGAAATTTTGAAAATGTATAAAACATTTATTTCATTTCACATCTGACATTTTGAGATCTCTTGTTTTGACAGAAAGATATTCCATGGATCTACAATGTTTGTGCAAAAAGAGAGACTGTTCTAGTTAACTTTGTGTCTTATCGACCGATTTTACTGCATTCTAACTCGTGTGTTGTAAACGTCTGTTAGTCGATAGGTGTGTAGCAAGAAACTGCACTTTTGAATATACGCGAGGGAAAAACTTATAACCTATTTCACGGCACCTTGCTAGCTAACACATCCTATATTAGATATTTTAGTATTATGAATAGATTTTAACATATTTTGAAAAAAAAGGTTAATTGTACAAACATACTTTTTGGCAAGTGATATATACTAGATGAACTACCACATGTACAGTTCGTGATATAGAAACACTTTCTAAGATCTCTGTAACGACCGGCTTTCCTGGCCTTAAGAACAATGGCATCTTGAAAATACCCTGTCCCCAACGATCCTCAACAGATTCAACCTTGTGCAATACAAGATGTCCTAGTAAATTAAGTTGGCTAATTGTATATTTTCACACTTCTGCACAAAATAAATAACGTAAGTATGACACGGAGCAGGTTCGTTTTTAAGCTATTGAACACAAGAACCTTAAAGTCGAATTTCACACAGGTAAACACGGGTAAACACAGCTTTGGTTGGAGCACACGAAAGATATTTTTCAAGTCGACTATAGAAGTTACTATTCACGGTGATGGTTTGTAGGTGGTCCATGCCCTATATGTAGGTTTTTTGAGTAGACGAAGTTCTAAGGCTTGTATGAACGCATAAACGTTTATTATAAACCGCTGACGGCTGCAATAGAGACATATCTTTATACATGCATATCGTCATTTATTTGTTTGATAGTTTGTTCTTTCAAATCTGTCTGTTCGTTTGTGTATTTGATGAATCAAGTGGTATACATCAATGTGTAATTATAATTTATTGTTCTTTTCATTCATTCACGTTTTTTAATTATAAACCACTCTTTTAGTCATTAGTTCGCCTATCCACTCCATTAATTATTTACATAATTGCCGCCGCCAGAAAACCGTTACGAGAAAATAATTAATTAAAAAAGGCCAGTGGCACAGTCAGTGCACATAGACTGGAAGGAGACATTTACCGAACCGCATCGTGAGGTCGAAGTTCGGAAAGTATATGTCAGCTTGGATGGAAGTATATGCCACCCGGATCGCTCTAAGTATGGAAATCCAGTCTTACACATTTCTACCTCCCCGTTCCATCTCACCCACACTAAATGTGACTTTGGCATACTGGTTCCTGTGTGTGAACCTCGTCTTTGGATGGCCAATCCTCCTCTAAAAAAGGATGGAAGTAAGAAAAATTACATCAACTGGTGATAAATACAAGACTGGTTCGAAACTTTTGTGTCGATTTCTCAAGAATTGCAAGAACTGACTAAGGCTCTGTTCTCACAACTTTTAGATCGATCTATCACCGGGGGGAGTCTCACTAGATTACTGTCAGATAATCCCCCTTAAGTGTCCGTGAAAATTTTCAATTTAATGAAATTTATTTCAATCTGTTGAGACCTATGGGCAGCAGTAGAATAGGTGTATTTAAGAAGAACATGAAAGTAATTCAGATATAAAATAGAAAAACTACTAACGTCCCAAAATTGCTGAAAAAATTCCTTAAAAGGGTTCTTCATTTGTTTGCACTCAAACCTTTTCTCGGAATAAGTCATGGTTTGAGACATGTTGTAAATGCGGAATATCCAGCTTTATCTCTAAACAGCCGTGTGCTTGGTTAGAGTCAACGCACGGGCTACTTTTTCGTGCGTAAGGAACCTACTTCAACGTCTGTTTCCGTCTATGATCTTTAGATTTTAATTCTTCATTTACTCTGAATAAAGCTAGTAACATTTGTGTTTGTAGGTATAAAAGGTCACATTTCTTAAATACATCTTTATCTTTAAGCCTTATTAAATGCAAGCTTCTCTCATGTGAGCTGAATACAGAAATCTGAATTCCCTGCTTAATACAGACGCGAAAGCGATCGTTACGTTACGTGGACGGCTTGCATGCAACATAAAAAAGGCAGGTAAAAGGCGGAAATTAAATTTACTACTCATTAAATAGCGGAATGACGGAAAGGGACGTTAAGGCCAACCTTCAAGTTCTTCAGTCCGGCGCACACTTTGGGATTTGAGCTCAGTTGCCGGTTTATTTTGAGTTCCAATTCAAATAACACGTGGCCAGGGATGTGCGCTGACTTGGAACACAAGACAAGACCCTATTCCCCCCAGGGCAACACATACGCTTTCATGATAATACTTCACAGGATATTAAAGGTTAATCCCATACCATCCTGATACATAATCACAGTATAATACATCTCATTACATCTCATTCAGTGCAGTTCATGCTGCGAACCTTTTTTTTCCTCCCGTATCAACTCCATATTAGATATCAAGCATCATCTTGGCAGGCATGTTTTAAGACACAGGTATACGTGCGAAAGATAAGATGCTTATTTCACTTTTGATATCAAAAGGCAAGATAAAGTGTAAAGACATAAGAGAGAATGAGAATAAGGCACCTTCGTTCGGATGACATTAAGTCTTGAGACGTTTCAATCCGCACGAACACTGCTGGTATCCTATAGAGACCGTCCCTCCTATATATCAGACACATTGTGTTCAGATTTTTTTATGTACAGAAACGAAAGTATATTTAAAACGAAACCTGTTACTGAAACGATGTCGGTGGTATTTCGAAAGAAGTGGAAACTGAATGAAATGTGTTTTTTTGCCTGTTATCTAACGTCACAACAAATGTGCTTATCCGCAGTAAATATTAACAGTTCGGCTAATGGACAATAGGCCTATTTGAGAACGGGCAACGGACCAAACTATTAGCGTAAGAAATTTGCAAACGAATGAAAGTGACAGATTTATTGATTTTTACGAAGCATTTTGGAAGCACGCTTTGTCTGTACCGTACAAAGTTTTTGGCCGTAGAAATTAAAAGATGCGTGTTCACGTCCTACGTCAATTCGATCCCTAATGATTCTGACATTTTCCTGCTGAAGGACACAATAGTCTTCGAAGCGACGTAAATCGATGTCTTACAACTGTATTATTTCTTCAATATGTTCATTGGACCTCCCCCCTCCCCCCCTCCCCCCCACCCCCCCCCTCCCCCCCACACACACACACACACACACATACACTGCTGATTGGGGTGACAGTATATTTACTTATAACTAGTATGAATTCTTGAGGCCAGATCCACAACACGAACGCTGGTTTAAGCTAAAGCTATATTGCTGTTAGAAAAATTACCTCCAGCAAGCCGGGAGAATATGAGACAAGATTTTCTACAGAAAAGGTAGCCGGATTCTTTTGTAACGAAACTAGGTCAGTTCTGATTTTAAATTATATAAAGCATCAAAAAACGATCAAATGTTATAGACACGTATCTCTCTTTATTGCCAATTGATGCAAAAAGGAAATTACACACGGCCGCTTTGTTTATTTATCTGTTTTTTGAGTCTGATTATGTGCATGTTACTCCCGAAGAGAAGTAAGATTACGTTACAAAACTACCGGCAGAGTTGATGGCACAATATATCATCCAGAAATAAAATTGCCGAGTGAAATGAAATCCTACAGGCCTGTTATCTTAGACCCCATTCCCACATATTTTAGATCGATCTATCCCTGTGGTGAGTCTCACTAGATTACTGTCAGCTTAGCCGGCTTAAGCGTCTGTCCCGCCTACTAAAAGCTGTAAGGGGGTAATTAACTGTCGTGCGCGCTCGGCTGACTGCAATTTAGCGTGAACCCCCAGGGAGTTAGGTCGATCCGGATGGATCGATCTAAATCTCTGGGAATGCACTCTTACATGCACAGAGATGTGTTCATTTTCAACCTTTGTAACTTTTTTGTCTTAATGGCATTTTTTCCTTCTATCTATCTTTCTTTCTTTCCCTTTTTATCTTTTTTTCCCTTCTTTTAACTCCTAGTCTTGTCATTGTATGCATGTTATTTGAATATTTGGGAAGAATATATTTCAACATTAAGTTTTATGGCGCATTTCGAAGATATTGGTATAAACGCGGTACAGCTAGCTGTCGCGAGCTCATCCTATACATACATGTACAAGCATAATTGCATAAGTCATATTTGGAACCAGTAAAATTTTTTCAAATAATAGTCACAAAGCTGGCGGATATAAGATCTGATGGGTTTAACGCAACTGAAGACATTACGTCTCACGAATTTCCTGTTGTAAATCGCTGTATCATCTTCTTGCGTCATCGGTGTTTTTTGTTCTTTTCTACATTGCTTCACCGATAGATATTTCATAAATGAGGTTCTAAGATGATGATGGTGTGCAACCATTCATAAATAATTCAGAGCACTGCGCCCTCATGCAGGACAAAAAAATACACGCGCCTACCGTCATTTTTTAAAACATTTTTTTGTGATCGTCTTTTAGCGGACCAACAAGAAAATTCTGTCCCAAGCTAGTTGAAATCTCTGCACTGAAATTTCCCGAAGCATTTCCATGGACGATATTCGCAATTTTGCGTGCGAGACAAAAACTCCTGCAACAGAACGCTCCGCACGATATTCACATTGTATATATCATGGCATGACATAGCAATCTACGGCGAGGAGAACGCCAACAAAAGATCAAAGACAGATCACCATTCTACCGCAGCACTTACGTGTGCCATTTTAAAAATATCACGGCAGGATATAGAGACGTAAGAAAATGATGAAGGAAATATGTCTGACAATTCATTTCAAAGAGATCACGCAAGTTATTCAAACTTCATTATCAATGTTTTCGCCTACGAACACGCGGTATTACGCAAATTTGATTTTGGTATGAAAAAAAAAACCAAACGAGTTCTAATCGTACAAGACCTGATTGTCTGACAATGCTAAAGGGCACGTACACAGTAGTAAAAGCATTCGATGTACAGAG